TAGGTCTGGGGCGAGCGCGGTTCGCCCGGTGTATGCTTTAATATGTATGATGTGATGCATGTGATGCTTGTATGTATTATTGCATGGTGGATGATTGTGGCTTAGTTATATTTGTTGTAATTTTAAATACGGCCTGCGTGTCGTGCCTCATCTCTATACTCTGGATGTAATTCTCTTCTTTACCTCAAATATTCTTTTCTCTCGAATATTATAAGAAGATAAGAAGACGAAGTCCGTTCGTGATAGAGAATCCTATGGAAGACGTGATGGGCCGGAGATAGAGATCTCTTGATCAAGGCGCTATCGTTTGTTTTTCTTTAGGAGCCACAATCATTTCACGTTTACTTATTATGCATGTGATGTATGATTGAATGTATGCATGTATGTGATTTTCGCTAGTGCATACGCGCTGTGTATGCTATAGGCAAGACTGCGTTATAAATCCCTCATAATTTTAAGTCTGTGCCACCCCGACGCCCCGTCACTTGTCAAACCCAATTTAGATCGGTAACGGACTCACCCAAGTGAGACGCCCGGTTTACGTTGGTTAGGCGCGAAACCCGTAACTAGGGTACTGACTCGCCCCGGGTTAGTCTTAACTAAGTCTTGGTCATAAGGATGAGAGACTTAGGGCACTGCGGTAGGATCAATAAATAAAATCAGAGCATCCAACAAGAGTTGTAAATTGTTACAATTGGAATTTATTCCTACCAGAAATAATTTAACTGTAGGGCAAGATGCAAAGCACAACTATAGTTAAATGAAATATGGATCTCGCCCAATTAAGAATTTTATTTAAAAGAATCCACCGAACCAAGAGTTGTAATAACGATTGCAATTGGAATGAATTCCTACCTAAATAATTTAACTGTAGGGCAAGATGCAAAGCACAACTATAGTTAAATAAAATATGGATCTTGGCCCGCTAGGGTATTCTTCAAATAGAAACCCAAAGTCAATAGGTTCCGTACCTGAGGGTAGTTGACTTGTTAGAAATAGTGGGAGAGTATTTAATAAAGACCTATTAGATACTTAATTCATGATAATAACTATCTTCGCAAAATTCTGTAGATGGCAAACAACACAAACAACCTCGCCCTGCGTTCCATTCTGGATAAAGATAAATTGAACGGAACAAACTTTGTTGACTGGCAACGCAATCTCTGCATTGTTCTCCGCATGGATGAGAAAGAGTATGTGCTCGAAAAGCCCATTCCTCCTGCCCCTCCCGCTAACGCCCCGAAAGCGGTCAAAGATGCCTACGAGAAACACGTTAAGGATGACAACCAGGTTAGCTGTGTCATGCTGGCTACCATGATA